ATACATAATATATTCAGTTATCATTACGGTGATTATTATTTTCAAAAGAGTAGATAAAAAGCCTCCGAGAATTTATGACATGGCTTTGATACTTTTTCTAATCTGCGTATTCTTTTTTTTATTATCTCGTATAAATATTTCATAACAAGTGATAAGCGTATGCGTGAAGATAAGAATTTGTATATGTGTGAGATGAGATAACAAAATATTATACTTTTATAATTTTATCATCTCTTTAACATAATATTTTGCTGTAAGTTGTTTATAATGGCGGATAAATATCGTTTATTTACAAAAATTTAAATATATTATCTACAATTGCAGGCACAAAATTGTAAGCATTTAGATGTATTGTGCACAAAATATTCATATAATTATGTGTCGCCCGCAAAATACATTGTTAAATGTTTACACTTTTGTGGAACTGATTTATCCGAAAGTTGGTTTATCCGACAAGGAAGTTAAATGGGATTGCTCAAATTTTACATACATATTGCATCGCGACGGCGTGGCTGTCGTAACAACATAATAACTCGATACAAGCGTTTGTAAACTTGCACCATGAGTCGTAAACGCTTCCAATGTTCAGTGTACCTCGTAAGAGACTTTCACCTCGTGCAAATCAATCATACTTATAAATTCATGAGTTCGTTTTTTTTTGCTACTACGTATTCACGATATGTCGTTTCTTTCTCAATATTAAATTATTTTCGTACACAAAAATTTCTATTCGATGAGCAAGCCATTCGTATCATGATCTTGCGTTCATTTTTAAAAATAATTTTATATATTTTCAAGTAGACTAAATATAAAGTTAAATATACGTGCAATGTTCCGTTTATAATTGTATAATAATATATAATTATTTTAATTATATATAATTACATGTAAACTGTAATGTAATTTTTTTATTTTTCAAATAATTACTGCATATTATATAATTTAGTAATATATTGTTACTATACATTTAGTTCTGATTAATTCTGAACGATTAATTCAAATTGCTATATAAACTTCATATATAAAGGCACACTGTAAAGTTGAAAGCCCTAAGCTCCAAACCACAACAAACATTACCTCTTATGCAACAATCAACGTATGGACGTTCAATCCCTCATGGCACAGAGAATTAATTCTGAAAATTCTTCTTTTTTATACATATATAAATTTTCGGGAAAAAGAAAACACTGAACAGTCGTCATTCGATGAAAATTATAAAAAGAACTTTAATTTTCATCTTAAGGCCCAATTATGAGGATTCAAGATATCATTTTATCATTTTATAAACAAAATCTTTTATTTTTCGTGAAAAATCATACTGCGCTTTTTATCCTATTCGATGTGATTTTTTAAATACGAGTAATTAAAATCGACATATGATATTCGCATACACGAATTTAAATTACGTACACATTTTAAATCAGCGTTTTTTATTCTTCCGTTATTTTATGTCAAAAATAACATGTTGATATGACAAACGTGAAATTCTTTTCAATTATTCATTTTTTTGAATTATATCAACAATTAATATATAATTGATTCAAAAAAGATGTATACAATTAATATTGAAAGATGCTTTTGAATTTATACACAGATAATCTCCAAACAGATATAATTTTGAACTTCGGTGTGTTTCTCTGGTGGCACCGTCACGCATTACTTGAAAACTGAAAATATTGACGATGTAGCTGGAACATTCTTAAAATGTTTGTGTAAATAACTTTAAAGTTAAAAGTCCAAATAGTGACTTTAGGATATATTTTAGATCTCCAGCATACATAAATCGGAGTTTTCCAGATATATTTCAAACATCCAAGGATGTCAAATTATTGGACTTAACTATCATGGCGATACTGTTCTTATCATATAATTGCAATATTATTATTATCACATATAATTGTAGTATTTTTATATAATTGCATTTAAAAACAATGGTGTTGTAAAAAAATAAATTCCTTCGTGGAAACGCCACAAAGAAATACATTTTTAATGACACTGTTGTTATCAGATGCAATTATATGCAATAATGACAGTATCGTCATAGTGTTTGAGCCTAAGTGACAATTCGATATCCTTGAACGTTCAAAATACGTTTCCGAAATATATTTTGCAAATTTTAAATTGCAACAGTGCACGAATTATAAAAATTTTTTTTGTTTTCAAATAACAGTCGCAATATGTTACGCGATTTTAATTTTATGAGTCAAGACGAATTTCCGTACCCTTGTCAAGCGGTTTCTTTCCATACGAGACAAGTTATCAAGAGGGAAACGTATTTTGCTGACTTTTATGATATATTCTTTACGTCTGCAAACGCAAGGTTAAGTTTGTCAAGAAATGGCATGACACATAATTATATGAATATTTATTAACGTAAAGGAAGTTTGCTAAGACTAATACTTTTTTCTACAAGAAAGGATTTTTTAAATAATTTGATTGCTTTTTTTTATCTCTATGCGGCGCAATGGCCGGCCGGTTCTCGGCGTAACATCAACGCCTGGTACGTTTTATCACTGGTTGTCCCTGCGTGCATTGAAATCGCGAGATTTCTCGTTGCGCTAAAATGTCATGTTCTTTCATTTGCATATCTGAACCATAGCCTTAATAAGACTTGCTCGTGTCGATACTGCGATTTGCCACGGTTGCCGATAAACATTAATGCTCCGATACGATACGGATGTCAGCTTACTTTACATTTGTTTAATAAAAAGAAATGTGGCTCTCAAAATAAAAATAATTATTAACGTTGATTATTATAATTGTATCATAATTTATGAATTTATTATTTATGAAACTGATTAGATTGGTCAAAATATTTTCATAATTCTTGAGTCTTTGCCTTGGCTTGGCAATAACAGTTTTTTATTCCATGTTAATTGCAATATTTATTTTATTAAATATAATAAGTGATTTAATATATGATAGAACTTTTATTATCTGAACCTTAGTCGTAAGAAAAGATATTTAGATAATTGAATTTTATGGATAATAATGGTTTAATTTTAAGTTTATTTATTCGATAAGTATAAATGTAATGTAATAAATGGCCTTTTTTTTATCATTCCGTTCCATTTTTTCAATTATTTTGAGCTACTAGTTTCAACTCAAATGTTTACTTTCTTTTTCAAGATAACAGATGTTTGAATAATTAATGTTCAGATAAACAATATTCGTATAATAGAAGTTCTATTGTGTTTAAATTTAATCAATTTTATAGATTTTCTAATTATTCGTAAAAGTAAAAATTGTAATATTTTCTATTCTATAAAAAAAAAATATAGAACATGGATGATACGACATTAGGTTACTTTGATGTATAAATCAAGATAACAAAGTGGAATACAAGATGTGCAGACTGCGAAGTCAACAGATCTCGTATTAGTCCTATTAGCACAAAGTAAAGTTTGCTTGCCGTAATTGCAAGACAATGTCTTACATAATTATCATGATCAAAACAATATGAAAATGATATATCAAAGAATACTTGTATTGTATAATAATATCTTTTAAATTAAATAGAATTTAGAAACAAATTTATAAATTCACACCGTATACATTTAACGATTCATTTTATATCTGGAATGGAAATTTACATAATGGACAAATAAAATGTAAGACCAAAACTAGATTACATTTGATGCAAAACTGTGGCAGGTCAACGTCTGCAAGCGTAAGATATCTATTTTGCATTAAGATATCGGTATATTTCTCGTACAGAAATTGCTTTATAATTTTTTATTTGAGATTGTTATATTACAGAAAGGTAAAATTCTAAGAATGCATTGAATCAAAGATCAATAATCGATAATTCGCATAATAATCGCGATTCGTTATCGGATTTAAGGACGCTTTCATCTCTTATGAAATATTCTCCCCGCATTCCAATTTATCTTATCGAGTTTCAAACGACTAGTTTTTAACAACATTGCATAAGTTGCGGACATGTAGTCCATAAAACTTTGCTAATACACAAAAAAAAAACAAAAAATATCTGTTCTGGTAGCGATAGCGTGTTAGCAGTTTATAACTGTCAAACACGTGTTTTTCCATGTATAAAAGTTTTCTATTTATAAATAGAAAAGTTAAAAAGATATCTCCGCGTGTGTGCGTGTGTGTTGTTTACGTAGAAAAAGAATAAAGTGAAACGAAACTGAAATGAAACGAGAAGGAACTTTTATGTTATCTTGTGTCTTAAAACGTAATTTATGAAAAGCCTTAAATTTTTAATCACTTAAAAAATAAAAATTTATTAGCGTCATTTTGAGAAACAAACATTGTGTTCTGTGTATTGTTTTTGAAAAGATTTATAGATGTACTTGAACTCTAAATGCGCGGATCAATATTCAATAAAAGATTCAAAATATTACTGTTACATAAGCAACGACAATTGATTGTTTACAAAAATTTTGTATACTTTGCAGAATGGCTGAAAGCTTTTATAACTTTAATTGTTGTTCATATAATAGTATCAATATTTTTATTATTCTTTCTGAAATTGAAATAATAATTTGCATTAATTATTAATTGCAATAAATTGTATTTTAATATGTAATATTATAATATAAATTGTACGAGCCAGAAGCAAATAATAAGAATCCATATATTTTTAAGAATATATTTTTTATCATTATTTTCTATGAATAATTTAATTTCAAAAATAGTATTTATTCGATTTCTCTAACTGTAAAATCATTATAAAATAGTTTTGCATATTGCTGTATTATGAAAATATTACATTAAATTAATTTATAAACTACCCAAGCAGAACAAATCATTATAATATCAAAATGACTCCAAAATTTCATTTTAGAATCACTTTGACATCATTTTGACGTCACTTTAACGTCATTTTGTCATTACCGTGACTTGTTGTTCTGCTTGGGTATAGATAGGTGCACTTAGAGCGAGAAAAATTGTTCGGGGAAATACTCTGGTCAACGATCATTATTGCTATCGGCAATAATTGCTGTTTTGAGTAAATAACTATTGCGGCAACTCACTTGATAACCGTTTGCTTCATGCTGTTGGTCATCGTGACTAGATTAGTGTTTTCTATACTTGGGTATGTCTTTTTGCCTGAGTCTCACTAGCACATAACCACACACTCTTCCGTCTTGTGTCCTTTTCTTTCGTCCCGGCTTTTACTTCAGCCGAGAGACCCACGGTCGTTTCCGGGATATCAACCGGAAACTTCTCGTGGCCGCTATGTTTTTCTCGTTCTTCTCACGTTTTTCCGTTATCTATTCGACGATCCTTTCCGGAGGAAATTAAAGAGAGAAGGAGACCGTAAAGGGAAGTTGTTGCCTTCCTCCGAGATTCAGATACCAATCTGTTTGGACTGTTAGAGTCGGACTGAAGTAGCGCCTCTCTCTGTCTCTCTTTCTCGTATGGAAGTTTCAGCGTTTCTCTTACGTGAACATTTCACCAGGTTGAATGAAAATCCGAAAAAAAATGTATTCAACGCGTTTTCGTTTTTCGTAGCTCAAAAGAAAAGGGATATAAAAGTATACGTACGAAGTGATAAAATTTTTTTCAATTTGTATTTTTGAGATCTCTATATTGTAAGATACGTTTAAAGAGAAATGTTTGTGGTACACATTTTAAAAGTATTTTCAAAGAAATTAATTTGAAAAAACTTTGTTGTGAAAAAACCAAATTTCTTTTTGCGTTCTTCCCTTTCTCTTTCTTTCATTTTCCTCTCTTTCTCTTTAATTAATATATATTTTTTTTCAATATAAATTGTCAATTACCGAGGTACTACGTAATCTTAATCTAAATATGTGTCAATTAAAATAGAATTGATAGAACAATGTGAAGAAATTCTGAAGAAAATATCGAGCTCTGCTCTTAAACTCTAAGTTTAAGCTCTGCATACTACTGATTCAGTTGATTTGAATATCAAGGAGACACTTCCTCATTATAGTGCTTAATGATTTCGATTTGTCGCTTTGGCTCAAGAAACGTCACGATGCGAATCTGACAGACATCATAAACGAGCAATTTTGAAAAATCAATTATGATAAGTGCAGAATTATAGTTTTGTGTGTGTGTGTGTGTGTGTGTGTGTGTGTGTGCGTGCGTTGGGTGTACGTGTAAATGTTGTCATTGCGTGATGCTGCAAGAACTTTTAACAATGTAATTTATTTAGAACGTTCCAGGAATTCTATACTTCAATTTGCAGTTGTATACACTTGTTTAGAAATATTATTTATAGAGCGATTATTTACTCTTCCTCATTTTTTAAAAATATTTTATTTAAAATATCAATTAAATATTGTATATAAATTCATTATAATAAATTCATTATGTGTATTAAATATATATATATAAATATAAAATACTGTAGTGAAATGTGAAGAAAATAACTAACATTGCGAATAATCACTGACAATGGTCACAAGTCTCCTTAACATAATGTGATCTCAAAACAATTTTGTTGGATATTAAAAATTAATGACCAAGAAATAAGTTTATGAACAGTTTCATGAATTTGGCCGAGTTTCGGAAATTTGGCTCGATTAATGCTCTTCAAAAGTATTAATGCGCAAGTAGTAAGTAGTCTTCCGTTACAGAAACAATCTCGAAACTCTTCAATAGTGCAAACTAAACAAGGATGGAAATCTCTCTTTCCTGAACTCAGTTAGTAGGGCTCGAACTTATGTAAGCCGCGTGTGCAATCGTCGATCGCAGGGACGCAATAAACGATTTATGGCTTCGCAAATTGAAGGATAATTCATCGAATTTGCAGGATCATGTTTTCCCACTTTGCAAATAGAGAGAGCAAAAGAAAAAGAGAAAGAAAAAGAGAAAACAATACATAAATAAATAAACTTCTCCTTCGTGTTTTTTTAAATATTGCTTATATTATATAGCACTAAATTAATATCATTTAATTTTATGATACGTTACAATTCACATGTTACATATAATTTTACGTTTTGCTTAATCTTTTGCATAATCTTTTACGTAATCGTATCTTAATTAATTTTGTTTTTAAAATTATCGTGCCCGTAAATCTGTACCGATATATCGTTTCACAGGGAAACAATCGATACGCACGATCGCGGTTGATGATCTGTTTATCCTTCACCCTCTTTTGTTTCTCCCGTGACAAAAGTTTCTTTACGAGTATTACAAGTATAGTCAATACAAGTTTTATTAAGGGTAATGATCAAGGGCGAATGCTAATCAGGTTACACGGCGTGGAATAGAAACCTCGTAAAAACCTTTACGGTCGTCGTGGAATGCTTCTATAATTTGTCACTGTTTCTTCACGTTTTTTTTTCTGTTCGTTCATTGCAAATAAGGCACTTCATTCGAGCAAAATGTATGATTCGATTGAATATTAATTAACATCACGAAAAAAATTTTTTTTTCCAGAATAAGACTCGATTTGTTATTTTCATAACATATTTAAAATCGAGTTTTATTCTGGGAAAACAATTTTTTTCGTGATGTTAATTAATATTCAATTGAATGATACATTTAATAATCTACTCATACATCGAATTTTACTTGCTTATATCGAACCTTTCATTCGAGGCAAAGAATGTGAGAATGTTTTGACGTGCGATTATTTCCTTCAATTGGCGTATTGGCCGATTGATTAGTTTGATAAAGCGTCTAAAGAGAAAGAGAACAACATATAATTTCTGTAAGTATTTATAAAAAATAATAAATTGGACCCAATTGAGAGCCATTATGGCATTCTTCGTTCAACCATCGTTGTCGTCAAGCTGGAATGAGAATTATCTCGACGAAGTTATGGCAAAGAAGCTGCAAGATGAAAGTGGAACTGAAATAAAGTCAGTAAACGGTATAATGTAGAAGTGTGTCAATATTAATTAAGGAAATTCTGATTATTGATGACTTACAATGGCGAGGTTAAAAAGAAAAAGTTGATAGCGTCGCAATGATCTTCTGAAGAACATGGAACATCCGTTCTAGATGTTGTCGTAATCTTTGTGCTGTGGACAGAACTCACTTAGGATCAGCTTAGATTTTTGCAACTACTTAGTTATTTATAAGTTATTAATCTTAGTTATTATTCCTTAATTATTATATTCCTGTATCTCGAATGTTATAGTACTTTATTTTGCAAGAGACACGTGAAATGATATAGTATGGTAAAATAAGCTATTTGGTTTAATAAGAAAATGAAATACTTTTCAGTTCATAAGACGAGAAGAAATAAATACACGCTAAGGATTTAACGATCACTTTTTGCTATTACAGATTTGCAAATAATAAATCCGCAATAATTAAGTACAAATCTCTAAGTTACATTTTATATAAATGTAAATTTCTTATAACATATTTCTCGTTTTGCGTGGTATTTTTGAATAAAAATACAATTCTATCTGCAAATGCGATAGTGGTCCAAACAGCAAGATACGAGATACCGTTAGCGTGGCATTAAAAAGATCGTCGATTTGGGACACAGATTGTACATACAAGAAGCATTATTGGCATACTTATTAACATTAGTTAATCGATTGGAATGCGACAATGTGTTAAAAAATTTGGACAAAATGAAATCTCAATAGTCATTATCCTAAAATTTAAAAAGTGTGACAAAATAAAATCACAGTTTGCTAAACTGTTATTCCCCTTCGGTCATTCCCCTCTTCAAAGTACAGGATGCTTTTCTGAAGTTTTTATTTAATTCTTGTTTGTTAAAAAAATCTTTTTCTTAAAATCATACTTTAATATTTTATGTGCTTCAATCATTAATATTTTATTGAAAAATAAAATGCTAATAAACTTTGTCATGAGTAAATATACTTCACATACAAATTATATATAACATAAACTTTCGGAAAGAAAGAGAGATAGAGAGAAAAATAAATACATTTTTTTCAAATAAAAATATAAAATAGCATTTACTTTAAAGCGTTACACACAGAAAAAAAAATATATATATATATACACTGTATACAAATAATAATTTTATTTGTTTGTTATTTTAAAAGTTCATATATTCGCAAATCTATCATAAATTCATTACACAAATCAAATTTTTTCAAAATATATTCTGAATCCTAGTAAGTTTAATATTTCAATCAAGATTATTATCATTATTAAATTAAAATAAATTTAATTTGCTTATTACATAATATAAAGTCGCTTCTTCAATAAATTTTATAATATTCTTCAAAAGAAAATAAATTCTTGTTTTGAGTACGTATTAAGTTTTTCTAAAGTTTGCAAAGTAAAATTTATTATCAAGAAAATATTGTTAAAGATAATGTTACTTAAAAGAAAGAAAGTAAATTGAGTGATCACTTTTCTTAGCAACAGAATTAATAATATTTTTCTATATAGGTATTAAGAACCTCTAGTCTCGATAATTGGGAAACTGTGCAAATATGCATAATAACGAGGATAGTCGTCGCGAGCACGCCCTTATTTCCATTGTTTCTTGCATTGCCATTTGCGTGATAATCAAATTTCGATCAGTGTGTGGACATACCGTGCCTCACAATCAGATATGAAAATAATATATACTTGTGTGATACTTGGAATACAGTTATATCTGATTTTAATTATAAGTGAGTACATTTCTCTACAGTCTGTTAGAAATTTATTTGCGATTCTCCAGGCAATCCGGTGATGATGTACATGTCACGCCTCCGTAACCGATATGCAAATATCACGATAAATGCAACGGTTGCTACACGTGTTATCAAACGATATCGGAAAGTCATTAATGGTCGCGTTTCCTAATATAACCGGGTGGCGACACCGATCGCTTATCGTATGTCTCGGGCGGTCTATTCGTAAAACAGAGTCAACAGGTCAGTGTTCCATGTCATCTCATTCCACTTGGTGTTTGTCGGTGCGTGCGAACCAGTTTATTAATGATAATCGATTAGATCGGCCGCGACAAAAATATTCTTGACTTGTCTGCACTCGGGGAAAACCTGGTATCTAAAATAACGTATTTACATAGCAGTTTAAAGCTATTAGTCTAGAAGTAAGTCAAATTTTATTGATAATCTCATATAGTTGTCCAAGTTTTATTTCTCTTGAATTAAGAACATGATTAATGTAAATGAAGTTGCTAGCGACTAGAAGGAATTAATTATTTGAGTTTATTTGAGTGACAGATTTTAATTGTTTCCTCTACATTGTGTTTATCTAACATAATTATTTTTTCTGTCTCGTCAAAATCTATCTTTGTTTATTGCATGCGAACAATCTAATTTGTCAATTAATAATCAATTATTATTACTCGAAAACTTCTTGAAAATTATTTGAAAAATTAATTGAATAATATCATTATAGCAATAAACAATTTTGACGAGTTATGCTATGATACGATTTAATTTAACTTAT